ATAAACAGCATTATTATAATTTATAAATAATAAAATTAATTAATTTTTGTCTTTTGGTACTATATGTAGATATTAAAAACTTATCGACAATTTCTATATTAAAAGTTATATCAATAGATTCCTTGAGACTCGGAGGAATGTTCATTACTAGTTTTTTCAACCCTTATAGATTGTTATAGGATAGCTTATACACGTATTGAGTAATAATCATAATAATCGAATACTTCTTGTTTATTTAAATGGTTGTCATTAGTTACAGATTATTTTACATAAAGCTAATAGAAATATAGTATAACATTATTTTTTTATTTTTTTTTTTAATTATATATAAAAATAAAATAAAATTTTTATGAACACAAAATTACATTTATATTTTTTAATAATAGTTTACTTTCTTAATTTCTGGACATATTTTGAATGTATAAAGACGAATACAAATCTTAACGATATTGGATTTACATCTGTTTTTAATCATTAATTAAAATTGTACCCAGTTGTTTTGTGTAGAATTAATAAGTGGAAAATCATAAAATTATTCATTGTAATTTATTGTGTTTATAATATACTACGTGTCAACTGAAGCAAAATGATAATTATATTTATTTAAACTCAATTGGGTAAAACAGCACGTAGGTAACATTGAAATAATATAACAGGTGCATGCTTATGCTTATAAATACATGAAGAATGATAAAAAGTTTTTAAAGATGTGAGCATTTTAAAGTATTGTTATCTATTTTCAACTGATTTATTATGAAACAATTTAAATAGCATTAATATTACAAATTATAAATTTAATCGGATAATCATTCGATTATTTTAAGTTCGAAATGTTTTAATAGCCAGTTTCAGTTACAAACAAAAATGTAATCAAACTTTGAGCAAAATTTAAATTAATTTATTTAATATTTAAATATGCATCAAGTACGCGACTTTTATGCAAAATAATCTTGAACTTTATAACTTTTATTAATCTTTACGAGTATGCAAAATATGCAAAAAAAATTAATAACCACAAAATCTACGAATTACGAAACGTCAACATGTCAAAATTATTCTGGCCAAGTATAGAAAAATGTGCATTTAAATCTTGATGTTTGTGGAAAAGTTGGATTTTGATAGGTATATTGACAATGATTCTAAAACGTCATCGATCGGTATCGAATGTTTGTCAAAATATCGATATCATACCGATTTATCAATATCGTTTATCCTTTATAAACATTGGTTACTTCGAACTGTCGTATGGTGCACCTCTACCAAACTAGAGAATTAATACGAACATAAATCAATCGGTTACAAAATCGTTCTCAGTGTTGGTAAGACTACTTCACCTCTTAAATCTTGTCTTCGACGACCATAAATGAATAAGTTACAGATCAGACTCGGAATGAGACCAAGTATTGTGGCTACTCAAAATAAAATGATAATTCACACTGGGTACTAAAACTACTTTGTTAAAACAAAAAATATACAAAAATAAAGGTCAATCAGAAATACAACACATATATAACGTGTCTCGATCGAAAACTCGAGTTGCCCGTTACCGTGGTGCTCACGTTCTTAATTATTATTTACAATGTGCTATCTCAGTTCATTCGCTTAATTGGCCTATACTACCAATATCATACTATCTTTTTGATAATATTATTGTTATTTTGTTTTTTATGTACGAAATCGGCTTGCGCATACAACAGAACACATTGATATGTACCTACGTATATACTTGCTACTCGATTGTCGGGTTAAAGTATATATTAAATTGTAGTTAAATTTATAATATTAGGTTATAGTAGGTTATACTAGGTTGACCTAATAGTTCATATCTATTAATAATAATCATGATAAATTTGTTAATACAGCGATTAGGAAGGAATATTTATTACGAAATACCCACTAACAATAAATTTCTCTCATAATTTTAATCGTGTCAACACCAATGTATAATGATAGTGTTCCGATGTTTGTACTTAACACCGTATCAGTCCAACTGAGTATACTGTATACTTGCAGCACAATGACTAGTTAAATATCATTAATACCATCCAAAGTTGGTCCAAAATACCTTCGCAGTACGATCATATTCACTGTTGTAAATTTTTAAATATCTACAACCTATATACGAGTAGGTATAGACGTATAAACCTATTATTTGTAAACTTTAAAACTTACTTACAAATTGTAATTTATACAGATAATCGACAGTAATATAAATAATGATTTAATTGTGCGTATCAACATTTTCACTACCAGCCATGTTATACAGATTTATTATTCATTAACGTAGGTATGCTCATCATTTGTATAAACCTACAATGATTCAATTACATTGTTTAATAGAAATAATAATTTATCAATTGTTTAATACAAACATTTTTAATTCGTACAATGTAATTTTATGTACAAGTTGAACAGGTTGAATTTTTTTTTTAAAAAAAAATAATGATACAATCATAATATTTACCTAATTTAAACATTACTGTTGACAAAATTTGTCTGGTGACTCAGACACCTATTTACCTAACCTGACGCAGTTTCGAAAGGTGAAAACCCCATTTTTATGTACAGACCCCTAAGTATGAATAAAGAATAAAAAATGTTCATTAACTACCTGATTTGCATTTCAGATCAATGCGTTATGATATAATTATGAACTTAAATATTCATTATAATTTCTTGCGACAAAGAATTATTTGAGACTTAAGAATAACGAGAACAACCAATTAATAACTAATATTTAAATAATACAAATACATTTAAAATATAAGAAAACAATCTTTCTACTGTTTATACTGAGTACTGAACTTAGTTACACGCGATTGAATAAACTCAAAAGCAGTCTTTTCCAATTCTGAATTATAATCAGAATTAAAATAATAATTATTTCCTTCTATTCGACAAAACGTGTGCAGTGACCACATAAACATAATTTCGTGTACATGGGTGCCTCTTTACAGTACAATATAATATATTACTGTGAATTATGATTATTTGCATGACGTATAAAATGTATTATTCAAGAATTATAATTTTATGCTACAAGTACCACGGCTCTAATGTGAAATAATATCTATGAATCCATAAAAATGTATGAATTTGAATGATTTGTGTTTTATTTTGGGATAACACGTTTACTTCTTGTGCCGTTTTAAATTATAACGAAATACAGTTTTTCCATTTTTATTAATGTAAACTCGTCTCTGAAGAATAATATCTTACCTAGGTACCTACTGCAATAATAAATAGCGCAATTTGTACTGGTATATAGAAGATAACCTTAAACGACATCGATTTAGAAATCAATAAATTAATCTTCATTTAGAACTAATTGAACTTTATAGAGTGTATTGTATTTTAATGAATATTAATCACAATTAAACATCTTTTAAAATAACAGTACTATTTTTCAATAAAAAAAAGTTCGTGACCTACAAATTTAAAAATGGTTACAACGCCATAAATAATTAATACTTTGTTGTATTTTTTTTTTTTTTTTGTGCATTTTGATTTTTAGTACATACTCATTTATACAATAGAAAAATGCATGTCCTTTTCTAATTAAATTCTTCTAAAAAACTACAGAATAAATTTTACTCAATAGATTAAACATTTTTGATTAATATTAAGCTTTATATTTTATTGAAAGTCACTTTTAAAATGTATTTTAGATGTATAAATGGGTATTGGTATATATTGACCTTTTCATTTTTAAACATAATATTTCATCGATCGTGGTTTCAATCTTTGTTGTAAAAAAAAAACTGAAAATACAATCAAAGATCTTGTACTTCGATAACTATGTCTCTGTAAGGTCGCTTTAGTTTATACGTACCTACATTGACAAATACTTTTGTTCGATTGTAAAGTACGATACACATTATTTATTGCAAAGGCATTGTATGGCCTCTAAATGTTAGTAGCATAGCTATGCACATGGTCAATATACAAGGTTTCACGACGAAGGCACGATTTTTTTTTTTTTTTACTTCAATTAATTATAATATAATATTATAAAATCGATAAATAAGCCATAACAATTGTCGAAAATAATTTATTAAAAGTCAAAACTATTGTTTCGCGATTATTTTATTATATGTATAATGTATATACATACACATGATGGTAAAGATGATTAATAAGACACAAAGTAATTGTAACATTTTAATCTAGGTCAATAAACTTAGTTTGTCAGTTTGAACAAAACAATGTGTATACAATTAATCGTACAATATCAGTTTTCAATTATCTAGTTCGTATGATCATGTTTAATTTTAAAACAAAGAATTTTTTTTAATACGTTTTTTTTTCTTTGACGAAGTCAAGTCAACAACAATTTATAAACATAAATAACAACTACAATTAATATATAGTTTATTATTATTATTCGAAAACCATAATTCATTGTGTTTGAAAAATGTTAAGTTTAAAGTTTAGAACTGCTGAGTTAACTATAATGTATTTTATTGTTCGATGTCATAGTTTTTTTCTTTTCAGATAAAAAATTCCAAAAGAAAAATTAATATAAAAAAATAATCAAGCAAATCGCGCGAAATAAATAAATCAACTCTGTTATTTTTATTCAAAAAACTACTTAGTAATTTCGTTCAAATTATACGTACCATGTATTACACAATATTATTAAAGTAATAAAATATAATATATAGATAAATCGTATAATAAATCGTATTATAGAATGATAAAAAAAAAAATTAATATAATTGAAAAAAACAAACACTCTCAATAACGTTATACTACGATTACGAAAAAAAAAATGTTAAGGTGGACCCACTTGTTAGTTATATAATGCGTATAATATTATATAGGTATCTATATATAGATACCTATATATAATATATATTTATATATATTTATTAATATAATAATTAATATAATTGATGATTAAAATAGAAAAAAAAACTATAAAGTCGCGTTGCGATGAATTAATATAATAATAATAGAAATAATAACGTTCGTCGATTGTGCATATTATTATATTATAATATTATATTTAGAAACGCGTAAAAAAAAGGAAAAAAAAATTGTTTAGAATAAATAATTCCGTATACGTTAGCTTCTGCTGGTGCATGTGGTGGCGGTGGTTTCTCGCTAAGTCCTCGGTCAGACGTGTTTGGAGATGGCGGCCAATAATATAATTATACAACCAATACAAAATATAATAATATGCTAGTCCGACGTATACGTTTCACATGGCACCGCACTCTCTAAGTACCCTGTTTCCAAGAGGCAGTGGAGGCCTGTAGTTGTTGACCAGCTGAGGTCCGCCGTGCGCTTCCGAGCAACATTCTTCGGGTGTCCATGTCCTCATGCTTCTGAACGCGTTCAGCTGTAAACGGAAATGTCCATGTTTAGAAGCAGAAAAAACTTATGTTTGGAGTCAGGCGAAGACGAAGAGGTGTGAATGTCAAAATCAAAATTAAGAAATTTAGTAAGAATTTTCAACTTGCGGAGTAACTCAGAATATTACGTCCATGAGTACTGATTTTAAGATGGGATTAAATGTTTTAAATTAATAAATTTCACCAGGACTACCTTATGATTTTTAAAAAAAAATTTAATTCCAACGATATTCTTCTGAAGAATATTTTTGAATATCAACGAAGAGGTTATTAGCCAGTACTATAGTAATTACTCTTTCAAACGAAATGTATATTCCACTTTATATTAACTAATTACTTGCGATTGCTATATTATTAAGCTTATGACATTTTGCATTATTAATTTATTACCTAGTTGATACATATAAATTTTGTCGTTGTAACCATTTATTATGCTCTTATTATTATTATCATTTCCTCTATTTTTAATTGTACCGTATAACTTCTCTAACTGGTCATTACAATCGTATGTGCTGTAATTCGATGTATTATAGGCATTCAAAATATATTAGATGCTGTAAAGAAAGTATTACATTCAAACATAGCATACAAAAGAGATCTGCCCGAGTCAACTGGTCCAAATAAATTATTTCACAACATATTAATGGAAATAACGTGTACTATAAGTCTAAGTTCATTAGCATTCCTAATATTCTATATAAGTAGCCAATTCATTATGACCTTAAAATAAGTAGAAAAATTAAATTTATTACAGGCAAATTTAATTTTTAGTTTGAAATATTATTTAATTTATTGTTATTATAAACATTCTGTTTCCGAGTGACTAATTGCTCTAAATGACTAAGGTATAATTGGTCTGGTATAATTAGTATTTTTTAGGTAAAAAAAAATTTTACCATTAGAATTATTACACAAAAAATGATACAATTGGTAGATTTAACAATTGCTCACCTACACAATTAGGCGTAACATACATAAATTATAAATATCTCACTAAATATTTTTATTTACTTCGGGTAAATACAAAAAAAATTGAGCCTAAAGATACACGTTTTCGTGACTAATATATCAATTTATCAAAATATCGTTAAAAAAAAAAAGTAGTGTGCTATTTGATATATTTTCTAACGTTCGGAAAATTATTGAATCATACATATTTTTAAAATTATAATTTAAAAAAATGTATAAATTAGGGTGCTATGGTAATGGAATTATATTATGCATCAGTTGCTAAGGAAAACTTTATGAAAAAACATTTTTATTCAGATTTCCAAGATTCATTACTATTTGGTTACTATAGCAACTTAATTATTGTACTATTTATCGGTTGTAAGTAGCAACCTATATAGATACTGCAACGTGAATCACTACATTATAACGTAAAACATAGATACGTTTTTAATATATTAAATGAGAAATCCACAAAAATTACAAAAAAAAAAATTGTATCTAGTGTAAAAACATATCTATGTCAAAATATTAATTAGAAAAAAGTTTATTACTTAATTAGTAAAAACAAACAAGACAAAGGACTGCAATCATTATAATAAGTAATGCACCTTCGCTGTAACCTAAATAGCTATAAATTGGGGCAAATGGAGATCAGGAAAGGTAAGCTGCTTCGTTAAGCGTCTCAAGCCCTACAAGATATTTACACGCTTCTTATTGTCTATAAGACAGAGATAAACAAGTATAACCATTGTGTTTAAATTTTTAATAATTTGTCGTGTCACCATAATATAAGTTACAATCATCGGTCATATTTTTTTCTACTATAGATCCTGTTTAGTGGTGCGGAAAACACTTTATTAGGACTCGATATTCACATAAATACCACACTGCGGCATGATCAACACAAACAACAACATAATTCACAAAATGATTAAAAAAAAAGTTTGCATCGGTCTGTTTCATTATGACAAGTATGCAGTTTCTCGAGTTTTTATAATCACCACTCACCGAGTAAACATAGCAACATACACTATAATAGCAGTGATTAAATGTACATACGCGTTCTTTTTATCTTTAGTTTGAGGGTCCATAAAAATATCATTTTTAAGTAGTTATAGCTTTATCTTTCTTTAATAATTGTCATCACTTTTATATCTTTAAAATGTTCATTTGTGTTTTAAACTATTAAATTACACATTGTGGTCACTACACTATTTTACAACGCAATAATAATTAAAATTTAATCGTATACTACTTTTTAATAGCATAATTTGTGTGGTTACCATAAAATATTTCAAATTCATTGAAAAAAAAAAAAATGCCCTAAAGAATTGAATTTTATTTGTATTGAGTAAACGCTACTACTTTTTATTTCTCATAGATTATGACGCTATAACTACTTTAACGAAGCTATTGTACATTTTAATCCTTAGTAAATAAATAGATCCGTTTATAGATGTTGATATAAACACGTTAATTTGAAAAATATGCTGCATATACATGATTTGCATTTTATTTATCGATATTGCTATCCATTATTCTTTAAATATAACTGTTGAGTATTTATTTTTCTTAATTGTGTATTAATAATAATTGTTTAAAACCAGTAAGGACTATAAGAGTGATACATAAATATGAAGAATTGAAAAGGAATACGAGACAAACGATATAAATAAATATATATTATTATTATCGATTCGCAATTACTATTATTTTAAATTAATTTCTACGTCGTCTTGTTACACAGATTACAACATCATTATCAATTGAGTTCAGTTTTGATCGATTACCTATTGTACACGTATTTCGCTATTATAGCTAATGTATTAAAAATGAGTAATTTATAGTATTAATTAACCTTGTTCAGCTGATAACTCTGAAATAGTTAAGTGTTAAAATAAAATATTTTAAGTAGATATGAGGTATACATAAAAGCAATAATATTATGGTGTTTAGTATGCGATATCAGAAGTTACTAATACTTAACGACTGGACTTATACATACTACTCACACACGCAATATAAATAAGAGCATTTTAACTTAAACATGAATTTATTTTTTAATAAAACCTTCTTTTTTATATAGTTAATATGATACAGTATGAAAACAATGATTAAAATAATGTTATTTGAGTGGTATTAATCATTATATTTATATTATGAATTTAACGATAAATATTTGTCACGTGAAACTGCCAACAAACAAAGCACCACAAGATATTGACGACAAGTACCAGACGTAGTGCTTAACCTTTTAATCACAAACTTAATTTTATAAGAAGGCGTTAGAGGTTAAGCAATTTAAACGCAATGTTTTAAGTATAAGAAAAATTAATTCAATTCGTGGACGCGATTATTATACCACATCATTAATATAAATTGATTTTAGTTTGTAATTACATTTTAAACTGTGTTAAGTTACCAGCAAATATATATTATTTATTTCTAAAACATAATTATGAATAACATTAAATTATTTACAGACACACACGCGCAATATTATCGTGATGAACTGATTATCTATTTGGACATGCTTTAACGCGTTTCATTTTTAAACGCTCAGACCTAAAGTTCTGTAAATTTAAATTACGTTTTAGATAAATAATAAATTGATTATTTTTTTTGTAACTACACTCCACTTTCAATTCACACATTAAAATATTAATTTAAACAACAAATAAAAACTAATTAAAGCCGAAATGCCAAGTTATTTCTTAATAACTCACTACTAATCAGTAAATATTAAATATAAATAATGCTGAAGTGGCTTGGATAAATGGTATTTTTTCATTCATACAGGGCGATTCTTTTATAAAATAACACTTATTATTTAAAAATCTATTAACATTTTTAAAAATATTTTTTTTTTAAATAATTTTTAATCGAAATGTCTAATATTTTTATTTTTACTTTTATAAATAACAGCATATATTTTTAATTTATAATCCTAAAGTAGAAAAATTTTCTATACGTAAAAGTCTGAATTGTGACGAGCTGCTTATTTGTTATAACTATTTGAAGTTTAAGTTAACACGAAGTAGTGGACCATAATTGTACAGGGTATTCCCGAACCACTTTACTCCACTAACCTATAAATTTTAAACTATAACTCATAAACTAGACAGAATTTAGATTTTATGTATCGAAAAACACCAAAAAATATTCTGCTTCAGAATATAAATTTAAAAATGTATATTGTCATTCATAAAACAAATATGACAATGAAAAAATTAAAAATATTTTTATTTTTTTAAATATTTATTTTATTTCAACTGGAAATTATATATAAAAAAAATATTTCAAAAAAGTTTTGAAATAATGAGTGCTGTTCGATAAAAAAATCACCCAATACGCATAGCCAATTAAAATCCTGTGACATTGGTTCAACAACATTTAAAAATTAAGTATGGTGCTGACATAAAACACATTATAATTATCAAAATGTAGAAGTCTAACGAATGGTTTAATATGATATAGTATGTTATTTCAATATTTAAAACGGATTAGACTATATAATAAAATTTATGTTAAAAGTTATCGTTACAGGAGCTGTTTATCATAATATGATTACTAATAAAGGATAAATAAATAATAATCGATATTAATGTAAAGAATTTTAAAGATAAATTATAATTAAAATAAAATTTAGATAAAATAATTAACAACAGCAAAACTTGACATTATTATAGTTTTAAAAATGCCTAGTAATAATTTCAAGAGGAAGTAATTAGAATTATTTTATTCATAAGTCATAACACTAATAATTAAAGAACAAATGAAGTACTTAGTTATTTTAATTATCTTAAGAACAGTCAAATATGGCTATAACATTAAAAATTAAAAAAATATATGAATATTTATTATTTAATTTTTTATTTGACATTTATATATGTTGCAAAATATAAATATTGCTTTTATAATATTTTTAAACCTTACAGAGAAGTCAATATAATTTATAGTAAAAAATTATTACAACCTGTTTTAATAGCACAATCTAACAAAAAATTATATTTTATAAAGATTAACTTAAGATTAGGTATTTTAAAAACGTAGAAAGGTACAACATAGCTATTTTTCTTACAATTATTTATTCATGTATCCTCGTTTATCATAATTTATAATTTAAAAAATATATATTTATATATTATTTTTTACAATAACTAATATTTAATTAATTTGCGTATTAAATAAAAAAAAATTGCTTTAGGCTAGAACATGTTATATATTTTATATAATTGTTCAATAAATGAAAATTTAATTATAATAGTTATATAAACATCTCTATTCGGAATAATTTTCAAAGCGATAGATAATCACTTTCAATTTTAATAACTGAGTAGCCTACAGGGTATACTGATTGACTTTTTTTTTTTTTCCTTCTTGAAACCGGGAACGGGTGGGAACTGTTTAGCACAATACTGCCACCATACTGATTAACTTACATATAATTAAAATTCAATTTAAAGAAATCATAATGGTTAGGTAATACAAATATTAATTTAAAAAATAATTTTTCACACAACTATTTATGGAAACAACGAAATTAAAATTTTAAAAGATTTTCAAGATTAATTTTGATGAAGTAAAACTCATCATAAAAAAATAATAATAGAAAAATTATGCAAATAGATCAACACATATTAAATTAATCTTACTTAAGATATGAGATAAAATATCGAAATAATGAAATAATAGGTACTGTACCTACATTATAACTATAATAAAAGCTTAATATAATATTATGATAAACTCTTGAAACATAAATAACTTCCATTCAACTTTAAAAGCTAAGAAGAATATAATAAATTTTAGTCTATTCTATATTAAGTATCTACACATATAAGTTCACATTAAAATGTGCGCAATTAATATGATAAATTAAATTATAAAATATTATGAGTATTATGACTATTTAGCAATGATAATTCGGATTAACATGAAATACCATCGATATTAATATTAGTTATTAAAACTCATTTAGTAACTGTTAAATACGTAGATGTAAGTATATTAGATAATTATATGATATAGAAAAATGCCAAAGATTATATTGATGAATGGATAGATATAAAACGGCAAGACCTAATGAAGTTACAAATGATTTGTTTAGGAGGAAACATCTAAGGATCGAGAAAATTTTGCAGCACTGACGGTGGTAGCTACAACTTGTACAATTTATTAAGTCATATATGATTATGATGTATATCTTATTATATGAACTGTCTATTATCTATCAACGATAAAATATATATAGTATTTAATATATTTACCTGTTTTTCGGAAACTTCTAAAGGACTCTTGAACATGATCCATGTAACGCATTCCGAACACGGTGGAGTGGTGAGTGAACCATGATATGTCCAGTAAGTTACGTCCTCTGAAAGTGAAGCACGCAAACAATATTATGCAAAAGCATATTGGCATAGTGTTCATGTGTAAGTGTGAGTACCTAGGTGAATACTGTTCGTGAGTATATGGTTTATTTTTCAAAATATAATTACCATGATCATCAAAATGTGTATTATATATATATAAATATGTATGTGTGTTTTAATTATAATTATTAATAACAATTTAGGGAAAATCATTAATTACCAGGCAACAAATTTGTCGGATTGATGGAATTGGTTATTTCAGCAGTTTGGTTTCGTAAGGCAACCTGTGGAATCAATGAAACAATTTTTTCCAATTCATCGTGAGATTCGGTTCCAGCCTAAAAATGTACACAACCACAGACAGATATATAATACTGATATATAATATATGTATAATACTGTAAAATAAATTAATTGTTATAAAACGTCAAATCATTACAATATAATAAATGATAATAGTTCAACAATAATAGTCCTAAATTATATAAGATGGGATGTATGTCCCAGATTCGATAACACTCAATGTGTCTGTCTTCTGTGACAGACAAGATATACTACTGTGAGGTACTCACGCGGAGTCATAAACAGACCCATTCATCAGAAGTTTGCACGGTATTCTATTTGGAGGACCCGTTAAAAATTTCTAATTTCCCCGACTTGGACCGATCTATAACTAGACAGGTACAAGTGTTTTAAAGATTAATCAACAGATTAATCCTAAATTGGTGACTGAAGTTGATCCGTTTCAATGTATCTAACCAATGCTAGTAAAAATTAAAAAAAATATAAACAATAACAAGTATCTAAATACTACTGTGTCATGTATTTACAAACATGGTAGATCAGCCCCAGACTCGGCACCATAACTATAATTTGGCATACACAAAGTACAGAAACTAACAGCAAACGTAAAAGTTTAAAACGTAAGACACATTATTACATATTTTTATAATAGAGCCGAGAGTGGACTAGACCTATAACTATTTAACCAATTGCGCCCGTAAACCATGCATAACTTTTGAGGAAGTTCTCAATTATCCATATATATCACATCATGTGGGTTATTTTAAATACCTGTAAGAACACTCCAAGTACAGCCAAACCATCCGGATGTGCAATGGCTTCAGAAAACGAATTGTATTTATCACAATTCCAATGGACTAGGTGTAACTGAAACATTTAAAATTCAAAAATTAATACGTTTAACTAAAATTATCTGATGAATTTAGGTTTTAAATAAATGTATTAAGTGAAATAACGAAACATTGTCTATCAAAGATTGAATTTGATTTCTTGTCATGAAATTATTGCAGTACTAATATTATGTAAACGACTACATGTCGTGGAATATCATCAATAAAAAAATATCAAACATCATAACATCAATAGAAAAATAGACAATAAAAGCAAATGACTATTGAAAATATACTCATATAAAAACAATTGTTTCTCCATAACAAATGAGTAACAATAAAACTAGAAAGAGAAACAGGCAGAGGCCCATAACGGGGAATCTATTGAGTAGGTAAGGAAAATAATTCGTTTGTCATCATTCATCACGATACAGGGTCGTTTGAGCACGAGAATAGGTAGACTGATACATTTTATAGTGTTCATAAATATAATAATCAAAAAGTAATGTTTATAGTGCATTATTAATTAAGATAAAATAAAAAAGCAAATTCTTAAATTTTTCAAATACACATACCTCGCCCGCATAAGGAACTCCATCAACAGTGTGTTCTGATCCTTTGGAGCTAGTGCATCCCCAGTGGCAATGAAACTGTTCCAATTTGTACTTATGTCCCAATGGACCACCAGAGAGTTCTAAAAAAAAGTAAAGCATATTCGTGAGAAAATTTAATCATAAAAATTTTTCATCAAAAATACAGAGTAAACTATTGCATTTCATACTCCATTTTTAATTTTAATAAACTTAACATTTATAAAACAAATGTTATGAGTAGTTGGTTATTTCTATGTATCAAATCTGTCATAACATACAAAATGCCTAACGATACACGTCTTTAAATTATATTCAATCTCATACTTATAAGTTGGATAATAATGAATATTGTTTGAGAAATAAAGGCGATATTGAAATATTAGCCAATTAATGTATCATATTGTCATGGTAAAAAATTTAACAGTTATTTTTGAAACGTGAATTGCTAATAACTATAGTACAAACATTACACAGCAAAATTTAGACAACTATTATTGTGATAATTGTTATTTTCAATATAATAAAAATAAGTAACTATTGAAAAATACCTGATCCTTCACCACCAGTAGCATCCACTTTCCAACCATACCCGGTATTGATAATTTTTGTGCACATTTCAGGGCAGTAATTCCAGTACAAAGGTTTACACTTTAGGGTCATGTCGTTAGTAGATTTAGAAGTTTCAATATTAACTGGTGATTGTAATAATCCGCCGGCTTGTGGAAATAGTTTTGGCCAGACCATTGGTCCTAGAACAAAAAATTAATTTATAACAGTTAATAAATGAATAACATTTTTCTTATTAAATTACTATTACTGATTTTTAAATAACACAAAATACGATGTTATATATTACACAAACAAATATAATTTATTCCGTAGAAACCCAATTTTGTAACTTTAGTTCCAAGTAATATAACTAAACATTATTACACAAAACATACTCGGTTGTTTTTCATACCTCTTATTAATTTTCCTGTTGCAATTTGTTAGAATAATTACCAGTGGATCCATTGAAAATAAGTTTCCTGTATTAATGTTTTTTTAATTGTTTGACAAAAATATATTCGAGTACGTATTGCATTAAAATAAACAATAAAATATTTAATGTCTATAAAACCGGTAAGTACACTCTATACTGGTTTAAACTCGGAGCAGAGAACGAGAGGACTATTTGTTTTTCATTAGTACTAGAAGTGCTTTCTTAAGAAATACAATTTTAACCTTATCAAGTTTAACACGCCTCAAAATTCAAGATTGGCGGTTAAACTTTGATCAATAGTACTTTTTACCTGCAAAATTTTAAATTATAAACAATACATGTTAGCATGTAAAGTTTAGTAATTGAATAAACAAATCAGAAAAAAAATCATTATGAAATTAATCATACAAAACCACTGCGGTCATATCAATATCACGTATTGAATTTCATTTTTAAAATATTTAAAAGCAATAATATTCACTTTTGGCATTCAACCGTAAGAGTTATTAAACTTATTTCAGCGAAATTATCTTGCTTTCCATTTAAATCTTTTGTAATGTCTACATCAAATATTTTTCCGAATCACAATAATTTACACTTAAAGTAATGAAAACAACAAATTGCAATAAAGACTTAAGTTAATAATAGTATTAATCAATATAATAATAAATATTATAGTAAAAGGTTTCGTTAATATTATTTAATAATCACTATGACATATTTGAGAAAAAAAAATTAACAAATTAATACTACATTAACAAATTCTATAAACATAATATTATATTTCCACAACTGATACAAAATATAATTTTTTGAAATCATCACATTTTTTTACTATAATTAATTATTTATATTTTAATTTGAAAACAATTTAACAACTGACTATAAAACAACCAGAATTTTATTAATTAAAAACATCCCCATGTTCAAAATTATCCTTTGTTGTATTTTTAACTCGCAGACACATTGCAAAATTACTTTAAAATCTTTATTTTTTTACCAAAATATATGACCAACACTCGATTACAATTATTTAAACCCAATTTAATTCAAAACAACCTATTTAGAATAAAGAATCGGTACCCAACAATAGTTCACGTACCTAGACATTATGAAAACAACGTCTGCGACAGTTATAAAAGATAATTTAGTGATTAATTTCTTGCTTCCTCAATTAATATAAATTTTTAACATGACGTTTACCAATGATAATAATTAATACGACGTCAGCCTTGATACTTCATCAGATGGATATTTAATTTTAAACCAATAAAAATTATTAAGACTCATAACTAATTTCAATAGAATCAAAAGTTATTTGTCAAGAAAATCTTATATTTACGCCTTTATCGTTTCGCCCATTTACCTACCAAAAACTATTGAAGAATTTATTGACTTGGCGTAAGGCCAATTTTTTTTCATAGTCTAACCAATATTGTTTACACGTCTAACAAATACCGAACAACTATAATTTACAACTTATTTTTTATTTCGATTAATATTTATTAATATTATTTACTGTTTTTTTTTTCGCAGAAATAAAAAAAACCCATCGCATCATGATTAATATCGTATTTTGACGTACGATATGTACTTATAATAACCGGTTACCAACAACGGGTGAAGTGGTTCGAATTGCGAATACATTGCCTGTGGCCTTGCAAATGGTTTGGCTTTCACGTCGACTAGTTGAACCCGCGGTATTCAAATTGCAATCCAAAAAACATTGAGCCAACCACAGGGCAACGTACAATAATCCAAGACGCAAAAGAAAAATTACGTACGCGGTGAGCATGCGTAGGCATGTACGAGCGTAGGTACTAGGTATTATAGTATGATCTATAGCTATATATATAATTAATGAACACGAAGAACGTAAAAAAATCTCTCTCATCAACATTGTGTGATACTACCTATGATGGGAATTTGTTTTTCGCTTTTTGATCTGACGACAATATAATGATACTCATTATACTAGTCATGTTTAATACTCTTATTTTGGCCTCAGCTGTTGGAATTACCCACCCGATAATTATACCTACTAAACAACTTTACTGTACGATTAAGTTTTTCAAATATATCAGACACTTAGGTTCATACAATTCGCAAATTTAAAAAAAACCAAGATGATTATAACAACACACATCGGTGGAAACAGTTGGTACAAGTCAAATCGGTGTATCTCGGGTACAAAAGTTGCGACGATGTATAATAATAGTTTAGCGATTCCGATCACGATCCGAGCACGTGGAGTACACCAATCTATTACAGAACTATATTCTATAGCTGAGCAAAACGCGTTTGAAAAATGAGCAATTATCGGAAGCATCCGAGTGCGATGGTCAGTATTATGAATTATAATGATATACCTAGCCCGAACAACCACGATTTAAACGATATGCCAATCGGCACTATTAAGCACCGTCAAGGCTGTTTCGTGCAACGTGAAGGTGTTAAAAACGCATAAGCTATATTGTATTACCATAATAACGATAGGTGAGTGTTTAGTGTGTATACGTAATAGATAATGTCTGTGTTAAGTAAGTAGTTTACTAAAAATGTAACATTATTGCGTGTTCTTTATTATCTTAAATGATTGGGAGATTCACTATGCACGATTTATGAAATAAATAAAATATGATATTTATTTATTAATGATTTCTTATGCCGGTTTCAAAATAAAATGATTGCTACCCCTAATCGTTATTCACCACAACTAATATTTTATTTGCCTATAATATAAATAACTATCTTTAATCAGATGACCAACTAAATTTGACGTTATTTACTGTAAAAATATATTAAAATATATTCTTTTTCATTCTTCATCTTATCGACCTAAAATCATCCAGTTATCCTGACATTTCTATTACTAAATCTTCAGTTATATCTTCCTTTTCTTTCAGAAGAATTTCGGAAACAAAATGTTTAATATATTTTTATTTTTGATTCCCATCGTTTACTCAAAAAATAAAAATTACTTTTAAGTAAGTATTACTCTTATTATTATATTTTAAGTATTCTATTACTATATAAATATAATAATTAATTGATAAGAATTAGAAAGTTATGTTCTACATCATACATATATATATATATTAGGTGTACTAAATATATCCTATGGCTGTATATAAATCATTTAACGTGATTTATATCTTAATATTTACCAAAATCTTTATATTATTTTTAAAATCTCAACTGACATCAATAAAATAATTATTATTTCGCATAGCAGTTTTTTAAATGATAAAAATGTATTTTGGAATACAGGCCAATTTATACAGATTAATAAGTAAATATTATTAATAATAATGTTATTTCAATAATTTTAAAAATCAAACTTTCAACACATGGCATATTAAAAATATTTTAGTTAAATACAAAAATAATATATTAAAGATTTCTCAGTTAAAACAGAAATCACCTTTATAAATAATAATCATACGAAGTAGTTATGAATTGGTTTAAAACAACGATACGAGTATAGGACTATATATTATAGATACATTATTCGTGACATAATATAAACGGCACAATTAGATAAACGTGTTTATATTATATGAGGTTAAAAAATAATTAAAAATGATAAACTCATTACTTAACTATATGTTCATAACATGTTATTTAGTTAATTATTTTTCATCCATTAAATACACGTCCGTCATTATTACACAAGCAATATTCCTCGAAAACAATTTCCTTCAACTCTTTAACATATCATAAACAAAAAAATAAAACAAATAATATTAAAAATAGAAAAAATAACAGTCTACAAAATCTCAATATTATTCGCTTTCTATCAGTTCAATAAAATTTAACGAAAAAAAGCTAGATGTGATAATTTTGTGTTATTATTCTATTTATGCATATGAAATATATTTTAAAAATTGTTTTTAGAATATGTAATGATGTATTGTAAAAATATGTTAGAGACATTTTAATATGAATATAAAATAATATTACTATTTTCTTATCTAAATAAATTAAAATTGATTTATGTTTATAATTCGAAAAAAAATAAACACTAGGTAATTGAATCTAATTAAATGAATAAAAAAAACAATTCAAGTAAACCCATCGAGAAAATAAAACAAGTCAATAATGTTTACTATTTTAAAATACACAATTTTATTTAAAAAATGTATAATAAATGTTTCATTTAAAGGTAATAATATTTAATAACGTATTTTCTTACCACAATATAGTTTTTAAATGTTAAATAAATAGGTAGGTAAATTAATGAAGTTTATGAAAAATAATTATTTAAAAATAATATACAGTATTAATTTTCTGTAAAATTAATAATTATTCTTTTTTTTTTTAATTAGTTAGAAAATAAAGTATTTAAAAACAATTTTGATTGATTATATCAATGATATTTAAAACATAAATAAACATTAATAAACTTGCATTACAATATTGACGAAAAGTTTAATATAAATACTTTATTGTCAACAAAGGAAAACAATGAACAACTTCTTCTTAAACGCAAAATGTACTTATATACTGAATAAAAATACTAAAATAAAGTTTATAAAGCCACCTCAAATCATTGAACACAAACTTTGAAAGTTAAAACAAATATAAATACTTTCTTTCTAATTATGTAACCACGTTTTAGAGTTTATAAGCACATGATCATAGATCCCAATTTAGTATAATATTATACATATCATTAGTTACTAAATATTTTAAAAAGAATTTTTAATATTAATATTGTAATTTAGGATAATTCAAATATATCTTACAACATTATAATCAATTATT